GGTGACAGTCTCCATAGAAACAAGTATCCATCCATCCATCCATCCATCCATCCATCCATCCATCCATCCATCTTCTATCCGTTTATCCCAAGCAGGGTCGCGAGGGGTGCTGATGCTTATCTCCAGCTGTCTACAGGCAAGAAGAAACAATTATATTTAAACACATATACATGTTATTATGAAACATGCATTTCTTTATATTAAAGCGTTGATAAATGGCATTTAGAACAGAAACCCATATGAAAATCTAGACAACATTGAAGCAACAATTTTATGCTCTATTTAAGCTATTCTTTAGAAACCTCTCTGAGTGATGTTTCTATTACTATTAATGTCCTGAAAGCAAGCGAGTGTTCATGTTTGAATCTATTCAACCAAGCTAAAAATTTCTCTTCCTGAAGTAAAAACACACAGCTTCCTGGCGTATGATAATAGATCATAGATGATAATTCTATTTATCAAAAAAAACAAAAACATCAAAAAAGTCTTTTCCATCTGGACTCTGCAGAATCCAAAGACTGATGAAGAAATGCTTTAAACGAAGGTGATACTCCTCAAACTACGGAGATCCATAACTTCTGACTTTAAAAAACTCAACATCTGAGATCCTTGTAGAGTAAAAAAAACAAACAAGATATAGAAATAATACGTAAAAATATTTATTTGTATATTCAGAGACCTCCTGTCCTTAAAAAAAAAAAGAAATCACACATAAATTGTATTGCAATGAAAATAAAAAGCTGTTGCCTTGAAGGTTGGTTATCATTAACTTCAGGCTGATAAACATTAAAACAGGCTAAAGAAGACAGGTATAAAGGACAGTTTCTGCTGTTCACAGTAATCAAAATATAATTAAATAAAATAAATAGCCGAAAGCCCTTAAATGCGATGCTGTGATTCAAAGAAATGTGTGAAAAAATACAAATAAAAAATCAGTTAAACTCATCAGGATGAGCTCAGACCTCACAGCTGTAACTCCATTAGACAGCTAGGCTCTTAAAGCATGCATACATGGAGATGAACATTCAGGGTTCTAATAGTAAACATCTCAGGATTAAAACCAGGATTTTTGTACGAAAAAATAAATCTTTACAGGAGGGAATGAAATAAATGTGCAAAAATAAACTAAATCGCTCAGATTCACGACCTTCTGGTTCAGTTAAACATCATTAATCAGTTACAGCGTCAAAACACTCGTCAGGACTACAGTGTCAGTTCATGTACAATAAACTCTGTCAGGTTTTGAGTTACCGATTAAAAAATAAAATAAAATCAGAGAACAGAAGAGGTTGTAGAAGTTAAAACATTAGAAAACATCTTTAGGCAACAAACTAAAATGCAAAATTTGAATCTTGTTTCCTTCAACCATTATTTAAGGGTGTGGGAGGGTGGGGGGAAATAAACAAATTATGTTGCTACACAGAGACAGAAGAGAAACGGAGGATTCACACCTCAGCGTGATTCAGAGGAATCACTAAACCAAACAGTCCCACTGGACACCGACAGGAAGTCAGAGTACCCAGAGAGAACCCACTAATGCAGGAATCTGCACCCCTTCAAATATTAAGAGCCATTTGAAAACAAAATATAATTATTTTGTTATTTTGTTAAATACCTACTATAGGAAAATGAGTGGCCATTTTATTTGACAATAACTTTATTTGCATTTTTAGTTTTTAACTCTTCGACACCAAATGCATCATATTTTAGTTTTTTTAAGCGCTTTACATCATCAGTGCGCTATTTTAATTCTAGGGGGGAAAAAAACGGATTTATACAATCAGATTTATTTGAACAAAAAAAATCCATAATAAATTGCAGAGAAATGCCTAATGTATCACAAATGACACAAATAATTGATCTAACTTAAAGTATTTCAAATTATTTCAAATTGTTCTTTTAATTTGTCAGAATGTTTAATTAAATTAGTTTTAAAAAGTGTAATTTTTTGTCACTTATTTCATGGGGTAGGCTTTACAGGGTTAAAATAGATACATGTTTCCTATTTTTTCCTCTTTAGGATACTATTTTATGCAAAAATATATATATATAGAAACATATTAAAAACATATTTCTGGTACGGTCATTCTGTTGTCTGTATAAAGTAAAATGCATTTGTCAATACACTATATCCTGAACAGTAAGTTGGTGCTTTAAAGTTTTTAGCCACAGTGAAAAGCCATTGTAGAGTGAAAAGAGCCACTTGTGGCTCCAGAAGCGGAGGCTGCAGACTCTGTTCTACTGCGTAGGTAGATCCTGCAGACTGAATGCAAAGTGTCCCTTGGCTGGAGAATACAGTGCTATAACTGACAGCAGCAGGTTTTAGTCTATTCAATAACTAGATAGTGGCTTTCGTTTAGATTTATGAGCTGAATAATACATTTTTGAAGATGTCCTGTTTTGCATATTAAATGAAACATGGCACTGGTGGTTTGTTGGCGTCTTCATGGGTCAAATTTTCATAAACACGTTTTTAAGGAGCCTCATCACGCACTATGACGTTACGGATTTCTACTCCAGCTGCACACAAACATTCTGCTAAAATTATTGCACCTCATTGAATTAGGATACTTTACTTCTGTTTATCAATGTTTTTGATCCAACTGAAGAGTTTTCTGTATTAACCATAAAGGACTCAGTGAGGTCAAATGCTCTTGTTATGGTAAATACAGTCATAAAACACAAGATAGGTCAGGTTAGGTCTTCATTTAAACCCTTAAACATAAGAAGTATTTACGCGTCCCTCAGAGAACACATTCTGTGAGGTTGGCTGTGCCTATACGTCCTGTCCCCCAAAGGATTCTGGGAATCATTTTAGTTCATTGTGGCTAGATGAATGTCAGGATGTCCCTATACTAAAGGAACCATCCTTACTGACAGCTACACTTCTGCTTGGGCTGAAGAGTCTTTANCCAAGTTCTGACATTGATTTTAAACGCTAGATTACAATCGTCCGACGCCTCAGATACCGTTTGACATCATCCCCGTGTTCAGTTTCATAAAGAACGATTTGAGCTTGCACAGCCGGCACGTCGTCTTCTTCCTCTTCTTCTTGGTGCTCCTGCCTTTCTTATAAACCCCCTGATATTTTCCCTCCTCCTCCTCTTCGTCGGCCCAGGGTACCCAGGCCTCTCCGTGCCTGCTGGGGTTGGCCCGGGGATCGTCCGGAGGGAAGTATACCGGCACAGCTGTCTGGTTGTAGTAGGCCAGTCGGGCTAACAGCTGCTGGACAACGTCTGGCCTCTGATCTGCCAGGTCCTGCCTCTCGAACGGGTCGGCGGTGATGTTGAAGAGCCAGATGTTTTTGTGGGCGGGGGATTTGTAGAGAGGCGATGAGGAACGTTCAAGGTTCCACCAGCGACCAGGAAGAGTGGGAAGCATCTGAAAATCAAGGTTTAGGATTATTTTAAAGTCATAGGGAAACAGCCGTTCCAACCGTTGCATTTCAAAATTCTAATGAGTGGTGCACGACTTTACACGAGTGAATAAAGGGAATATGATTGGTCGATTATCAAGGGGGCGGGATTGTTGAGGCGGAAGGTTCCCAAACCTTTTTGATTGTGGCCGGTGTCTCGGAAGCATCTCGCTAACCAGTTAGCAACTTAGTGCTAGTAGGTTCCCAAAGGGAAATTACATTGGGACCAAATAGCACTAAATTGGTGGCTTACAAACGACACTGTCAAGGAACGCTATGGACAGAGGAAACATGCAAGAGGAGGAGAGTTTAGTGTCGGAGGTCGTGGATGAGTCTCCTCCGTCATGCATTTTTTATTTAGAGGAGGAAAGCGGGGATGAAGATGTTGTGGAAGAGGACGCCAGGGCGGCAGAAGCTTGGTTTGGTGTAGAAGGCTTACAGCCGTACATGTTTGAGCCCTTGCCTCGCAACGCTGCCAGTTCTGTTAGCTCTACGCCTGCTGAAGACACAGACGTCCATCCCTGTGGACACTGGGATGGAACTCAACGGGAAAGGAAATGATTCTGATTTCAACCATTGCGTATATTAGCTGGGACATATGAATCAAGATGCTATGACCGAAAAAATTTGATTGACAGATGACAATTGATATATGATCGAATTTAGGTGTACAGGCTGACGTATAACTAACTGGCCTGCATAACATAGCAAAAATAAACACAGATTTTGTTTTTTTTTGTTTTTAGGGCAATAGTGGCTCGTTTTTTTTTATGGACACTAGGCTGACAGCAAAGGGGGTTTTGAGAGAGGGAAAGCGACATGTGGGAAAGGACCAAATGCCATATTCGAACCCGGGTCGCCCGCGTTGAGGACTAAGGCCTCTATACATGGGTCGTGTGTGCGAACCACCAAAGCATGTCCAAAAAAGCACAAATTTTAAGACAGGACCTTTTTAAAAAACAGAAATTTTCTAAGTTTTGGGACAATATTGTTTGTACATTTATATACATGTTTAAGCAAGGATGATTTCACATTTAAATATGATTTCCCTATGACTTTAACCGAAAAAAAAAAAAAATCCAGAAGATTATGAAGAACTTTCTAAAGTACCTGCAGAGGAACCCAGTCTCCATGACCCGGATCTCCTGTTAACAGCTTCCAGTCTCCAACCCTGATGGCAGCCTGCACAGATGGGTCCCATAATTGAGAAGGTAGCGACTGAGTTCTGGGTGTGGGGGTTTCATACTGGTTCTGGAGCAATGCCTGTTTGGACTTGGGCTTTAACTGGACTTTGAGTTGTTTCTTTGATTTGGTCTGAGCTGGTCTAGACTGAGACAGGTTGTGGTCCTGTAAGGTGGTCCTCTTGGATTTGGTCTTAGATTTATGCCAGAAAGCACCCGATGCTGACGGAGTCCCACTGCTCTGGATCTTTGGTTTGCTGTGGAGTTTGGTCCGATGTTGGGATTTGGGTTTAGCCTTGGATTTTGGTGCCAGTTTTGTTTTTGGACCGGGTTTCAGCTCCACTTTGGGAACAGGTTTTGATTTTTTAGACTTTGGAGCAGGATTAGAGAAGATCTGAGGTTTCTTGGTGGTCTTTAACTTGGTCTCTGGCTTTTGATTTGGTTTCTGCTTCAAAACCTTTTTCTTCTTCTTTGGCTTTTTAAATGCCTTTCCTTTGGATGGCCCCCCTACCACACCAAATCAAACAAACAAAAACCACATGTAAGCAATCGATCATTTAAGAAAAATGCCCAGAAGGATAACAGCAAATTATTAGTTTTAGCAAAAAAAAAAACCCCCAAAAAACAGTATGTTAAATTCACAAGGATAAAACCGTTTTCTGCAGCAGGCAGCTGAGTCTCTGCTTTTAAAGAGGCTGAATTCTTTTCAGAGTCTGGAAAGTTTTTCAGCTCTCATTTCATGCAGTTTACCTGCAGCTGCTTTCTTTCCTGGCTGGTCACCCCGGCTCTTGGTTTCAGTCGGATGTTTGTGCAGCGGGTCGATGTTGTGGAGAACCTCTCTACGCGGAGACTCCTTCCCCTCGCTGATGGTGGGCCAAACATCAAACCCGTCCAGGCCCTGGCTCTGGGCCACAAACACACACATAAGCAAAGGTTTATGCAGGGATAAATACTCCTTAATTTCTAAATGGAATAAAGAAAAAGACACAATTTAATTTATTTCATAAATTCAAAGCTTCATTGATGTTTTAGAGAAACATGGACTTTATTTTTTCCAGGGTTATAAAATCTGGGAACTCATGGAGTTTGGCATCATAAAAAGTGAAAATGTTTTTACTGAAAGCCTGAAAATCAAAGGAACTTTGAATAAACTCCATAAATAAATAGTGCAATAAAATGTAAAGAAATCCTTTAGTTTCTAAACTGACCTGGCTTATGTTGCCTCCGGCCAGTCCCACCAGTGTAGGGAACCAGTCAGTGATGTGGAGCAGAGCTTTGGAGACCCGCCTCCTTCGTTTCAGCAGTGGGCTGTGGACAAACGCCACTCCACGGACTCCGCCCTCCCAATAAGTGCCCTGAAAAACCAGCCACAGTGTTTACCTGGAGATCTGGTGAATCATACTGCAGAGCTCTTATCTGTGCATCAGTAACTCGGATGCCGTTAGAAACATGGAGAGAAAGAGAGAGGTTCAAAAGAAACACACAAAAATTTAAATATTTTCATTAGATGGGATTTTTTTTCGTTATTCCCGTAGGTTTAAGTTTGAGTTCTTTTAGCTTTGGGTTAATCTGAAATACTAAAATACTAGAAGGAAGGTTTTAAGTAAAGGAAGGCAAGGATGAAGGATAGAATACTAGGAAATAATAAGTTATAAAAGATACAAGGTAGGAAGGAGGACACAGGTTAAAGGAAATGTACAAGGAAAGAGGAAGGAGAGAGCTGCAGAATGAAAACGGTTTGAGAAAGGGAGCAGAATACATGAAAGGAATGAGGAAAGGACAAAAAGTGGGAAAGAAATATAAAAGGAAGGAAGAGAACAACGAGGGTGCAAGGAGAGGAGACTGGAAGGAAACAAGGATGGAATGAAAAAAGGACACAGGGAAAGTGGTAAAAGATGAAGGGCACAAGGAAGGTAGACAATACAGACGGAAAGGAAGAAATTAAAGGAGGAAAGAATGAAGGGAGGAAGGAAGCAAGGAAAGAAGGATACAAGACATACACAAGAAAGGAAGGATACGTGAGAGGAAATGACAAAGGATACAGGAATGAAAGCAGTGGAAATAAAAGCCTGGTAAGAAAAAAATGAATACAATGAAAGAAGGAAATAAGAACAGACACAGAGAAGTAAAAAAGGTTACAAGGAAGCAAGGGGAACATTAAAAAGAGGGGCAGGGGGGATAAAAAGGTATGAGGGACACAAGGAAGAACCCAAATATAGATCAAGGACCCAAGTTAGGAAAGATGACAGAAGGAAGGTAGGAAATAAGAAAATATGGAGGGCACATGGAAAGCAATAAGGAAGGGCAATGCATTGCTGTATTGAGATTGGGAATAAAAGATGAAAAAACAAATATTTTTCACTTATCCAAGCCTAGATGATACTGAAATAATATCCTTGATGTTTATCAGTCTGATTATCACAGCTCTAATAATTATACCTAGAACATTTATAAAAAGAAAGCACAAATATAGCATTAACACCAGCTAAATATAGTAAAAGTCGTCAAGTTAAATCCCGTATCATACAGAAAGAACAGATTGTACTGTTCTGGCCTTAAAGAATAACGGAAAGACAACAAGTCTATTAATTACTAAGGCGTTTTCTCCAGTAAAGCCTGCAATCAGCTGTTTAACAATCATTCAGCTCATAGATAAGATTACTGGCTCAAGTTTGAAAACATTTCCTTCCTTTGTCTCTTATTGCAGCTCAAAGCTATTTGCCGTAAACAAGGGAATCCCTGCGTATCAAGAGGTGGGGGAAGCAGAACATCTGTAACCAGTGAGGGTTTATTTCATTAAAGGTAAAGAAGAACATCTTTAATTTCCTTGTGGATCATTTAAATAAGGGGTAATCCTAATTGTCAATCATTCTGGTGATATGTTTACAGAGCTGTCAATGCTCACCCACTGGGTGTGAGACTCACTCATCTTAGTGTTTTCACACACTCACACCCCAGATCCCCAATTTCTCACGCTAAAATACGACAGACATTAAAACTCAGCTCCATTCCACTTATTTATATATAAAAATTCCATGCTGATAAAAAACCAGTCCGCGTTTTCAACACAACCTCAGCTCTAACACATAATGCAAATCCAGGTTTATATCCAGT